AGATTCGATTGGGATTAATGGGTTCAATTTTGTTGGCAAAAATCGTTCCGGTAGACACGGGGGTGGAGTCGGCCTCTTTGTAAAAGATGATATTATATTTAAAATAAGAAATGATTTGATGATTTCAAATGAACTAGAGTTATTTGCAATTGAAGTGGGAATCTCGTCTAAAAACAACTCATTAATTATTGTTACGTATCGACCACCACATTACAGCAAAAAAGTTTATATGAAGCAACTTGAACAAGTTTTGTTAGCCATAAATAATGAGAAAAAACTAGTTTATTTAACCGGAGACCTGAATATAGATCTTTTGGAAAATTACGAATCTTACAGTAGTCAACTCCAAAATTTACTGACATCTTATAATCTAAAAGCATTAATAAATAAACCAACAAGAATAAACATACAAAAAAACTCTCTGATTGACAACATTTTTACCAATGCATCGGAGAACGTAACAGTTTGTGGAGTGCATTTGACAGACATTTCGGATCACTTACCCATAGTTGCATGTTTCAAGCAACAATTAGTGAGAATAGAATTTGAAAACCGAGAAAATCAATTTTCTTTTTCAAGACACAGAATTGATAAACTAAATGAAAGACTGCTATCGACCGACTGGACAGATGTGTTACTGTGCTCAGATGTGGATGCTGCTTTCGAACTTTTCACCAACATTTTCCGTGTGGCATTTAAAGACTGTTGTCAGATCAGCTCATTAGGAAAGATTAAAAAAATTTTAAAACAAAAGCCTTGGGTAACAACTGATTTTCGCAGAATGCTGAATAAAAAAAAATACTTGTACAAAAAGTTCATTAAAAATTCAAGTAGTGAGAATTTTCTGAAATTTAAATCACAAAGTCAAATTTGCAACAAGGTTAAATCTATTCTGAAAAGGCAATATTTCTGTGATTTGTTAGACAAAAATAAAAATGACTCGAAAAAAACTTGGTCAATAATTAATAGGTTAACAAGCAGGCAAAAAAAGATCAACCCTGCATCGATCACAGATAATGAACAAATTATAGCATCGCCTGCAAATTTTCTAAATAACTACTTTGTTAACATCTCTCAAAACCTTCAGAAATCCTTACCGGATAATCAATCATGGAAAGAAACAATTCATCATCAGTTGCCAAACTCGTTTTTCTGTTTGCAAACTACAACAGAAGAAATAATAACTACAGCAAAACTAATCAAAGCAAAATCGTCTTTTGGACTGGATGAAATACCTAGTAAAATTGTTATGGCTACCATCCGATCAACAGCACATGTGCTTGAACATCTTATTAATCTGTCTTTTATG